TTACTAATGTCTGAATTAGTACACTGATTCTTGTTTGTGCTGTGTGTAGCACAATAATTAAAGACGCCCTGAAACACATGTATGGTTTCCGATTCGATCCCATCTCCAGGAGAAATCAATTTCTCTACCCCTAAGAAATCACGAAGTTTATGCAAGGCTCATGATTTATATCACATTTATGGAGGTATAACCAAAATTTTTTTACTTAATAATCTATGGTGCGCCCGAAAAACCCCAACGCCTCTCCTTGATAAAATAATAGTATTTAACAATGTCACACCAAATGGATTACAAATAAAAATACAATAAATTAATTAGGTACAAAAGCAAAAAGTTGAATCAAAACATCTTTATGCTTGTGGAACACATTGAGACATCGTACTGAATCGCGACAACATATCGACGTCTGCCATGTATAAAAGAGCAAGTGAAACTGGATTTTGGAATCGTATTCGATGAAAACGTACACCAACATAGCAAGGGCGGCACCTGTGAGCAATCGACTAGGATCAGTACTACTTTAAAGAACACGGAGACGTCGAGACGTTAGCCGAATAAATATTTTTATACTAACGTCGTGCCAGCTCAATATTATAGAAAATGTCGTTAGGCAATAAGGCAAATATGTATTGAGTAATCTCTACGATGCATAACGAAGGGAATAAATCACTAAAAATTTGATCAAGATCGAAAGTTTTAACCCTCATCCATATGCGGTCCGTCTCATCAAAAGTGCTATCTACCGAACATGTTGAGCATACAGCTGAGTTGTACTCTACTCTCAAAGAGTGAAAAAAAGACAGTGTTAAACATTACCTTTAGTCGGCTTTTTTGAGACCCGCTTAAAAATTTAATTTAGTCTGATTGAAATTTTTGAGCCTTTCAGAGGTCCGCTATGACGTCTCTAATGGTAGACGTACGTTTCGGCTTTCTCCCGAGCTTCATCCTTTAACAAGTAGTTTGTTTCGGATGATTTGATTTATGACGTTATTGGAAATTTTGAGCACTCGTCAAAATTCTAACACGTTGATAGCGACATTGAAATCCTGCGCAGCACGCGGCGCCGTCGCGCGGCGAGCGCAGCGGGCTACAGTGACGCAGTGGTAATTTTCCAATGAAGTGGGGATTCTTATAGTCACTAAAGGGAATTTCGTTATCAGAAGTAAGATAAACGTCATATTACAAAGCAAATTTAGTGGGAGAATAGGCCTTTTTCGAGCTATCGAATGACTAAAAACATGGATAAAAAGAAAGAAAGGAAGTTATATAACAGCTAAAAGTCTGTTTCCTTTCACAATAATGTGCTTTTCCTCTTGAAACATAGACGATTATTGATATATAGGCATTCTCTCTAGCATAAAACTTTTTATAGAATTCTGTTCTGCTCCATTTATCATTTAATCACGATAATATCCCCTCAGTATCTCAGATTACCAAACAAATTCCTGTATTTCCATTGCAAAGCGTAATGATAAAGACTCCCGCCGCGCCGCGTCGCCGTGCACACGGCGTGCGATCTGAGCTAATAACAGCTCAGATCGTTGTCAAAGTGTTAAACCTCGCTTGCTAAGATCATCATAGTATAAAAACAGTTCTAGGCATGATCAGAGGTAATATCATTATTAGTGTCCATAATGAGGGTAATAGCGTTTGGAGTGGATGAAGTTCATGTGAATCACTGCATTAAAAACCTATTCTATCTAATAAATGAAGCAGGTGAAAACAAGGTCACATCAAGGACGTCGAATCTTTTTCAGAAACAAAAGACTGCCTGTTCTCATTAGAGCATTAACAATGAAATCAGTTGGTCTTTTGAAGTTCTAATGGAGAACCATCAGCAACGACCTAACATGCAGTTTGATACATTTTTTCAGAGATGAGCAACTGGGTGCACGCCGATTTGAGTGAGTACGCAATTCGCACCAGATGGATGAGTTCGTCAATTCGAAGTGAATGAAATATCCAAGATTTTGTTGAAGAACTGAATTGTGATTCAACCATATATAACGTCGATGTGCTTAGCTTTCAAATTTTGCCAGTCAGATCCTGAAAATGTCAAAGAAGCAGACTGTCCACAATTGAAAAAACTTACAATTTCATTACGGTCGATTTTAGGTAATACGTTCATCAGTACGTTCAAGATAATGTAACGTTTTGAAAGAGTGCATAATTGAAAAAGACGCCAGTGAGAACGAAGGAGAAGAGTGATTAAAGACGTAGAGATGAGTCCGAGTACAGCTTAGGAACTGAAGAAATGACTAAAGAAGCTTTACTTTAAAATGCTTAGATATGCCATCTTCCACAGGTCGTGTAGGTCTTACTTCCTTCTATTTATTACTTTCTTCGTTCATGGCTTGATGTGTGTTGCGCGATAATCGAGAGCTAATTGTTCTAGAGCTCCGAAATAGCTGATCTAGAGCGTACTTAACCCATTACCATAGGCTGTCGGCATTGAGATGAAAAGACGGTTTGCTTCTTTTGATTTTGCAGATTTCAAATTTCATAACAATGGCAAAATTCAAGTGATGGCAACGAAATATCAAAACAACTATGTCGAAGTACTTTGCAGCACCGATGATTGGCTGAACATCTACGTCCTTAGCCGCCAGAACGGAAGCGTCAAATTTTCTATTCCCCATGAATATTCAAATTTTCACTTGTTATTCTCGAGAAGGGCGCATATAGTACAGCGTTTTAGAGGTTCGCTGCAATGCAGGCGTAGTAATTGGTTCAATCCTGTGTCCAGTGCTCAGCAAGCCTTCCTTACTGCCGTGGCTGGCAGATCGGTACTAAACTAGTCTGGTACAGCAAAACAAGGAGCTGGTTCACTGGAAGGATTCTATGAGTCAAAGTTATAGCTTAAGCAAGTATTCGATCAAGCTCTGATATTAATGGAGTGAAATGCATGGTGGATCTTTCACGTAATGATAAGGTCGTATTTTTGTTTACCACTCAAATCTCTCAGTTATATATGAAACATCGCAACACTGCGAAAAAGGCAGTAAATCACTAGAATTTCGCGTTATAGTTATTACAATGGCTGTCAGCTCAACTGGGTTTATAAAACGAAATCGCTTATCCGACCAAACCTGTTGAAGGTTGGTGACTGACAGCTTACATAGAGATGTTGAAGAATGAGTGCTCGGGCAGTTGTGCCTCGGTGGTGCAGTAGCACGCGTCCCCGGATAGCATGAAATGCGGATTCGACTCCCGTCTGAGGTCGTACTTTTGCTCAACACTCAATACTCTTAGGTAATGATCAGCGCCATACGCTTCATCCTTTACTATTGATGATTGAATCCTACTGAGAACTAATGTGCATATAGAGCACTTTTCAATTCGACATCAAAATAATTGCAGCTCCACGCACGACAACAGTTCTACGTAATAAGTTAGAGGATAGAGTTCCCGTTGGTAGTCATTAGTTTATAGATAAGAAAAGCCAGATAGAGTTAAAAGGACAGAAGAGCAGGCGAATCTAGAAATATGGAGACAAAAGGGAGGGAGGAAGGGAAAGAGGAAAAGCGAGGAAGACAGGAGGTTTTTCTTCGTTTTCCAGAATAATTTTTGCAAGTAATGTGATAACTAAGTGTGAGTTGTACGCGGGGAAGACAGTTTTGCTATCAGCTGAGTAATCGCGGAGTGATGGATGTGGCTCAAAATAAGTACCCAGCCAACGACTAAATCTATAAAAGATTCATTTTATTTTACGTGACCCATGATCTTAAATACTGTGAAGACCACAACAATTACTGCACTACATTTTTTTTTCCTCGTATTCCTCTTTCACAAATGTCTCCAGACATTTTACGTGTTGCTTTGACTGCTTTTTCATAAATTGCCTCTTCTTGAACGTCGTAGAATGCTGAGCGGGACGACTGTCCACGCAATTTACAAGGTAGCAAAGCTAAGGCATTCCCACGTGATCGGAAAAGTATTGGAGAGGAATTCGAATCAATACCTTTCTTTCTGATAGACTGCATCACTCAGCTATCCTCCCTCGCATAAGTAATAACTTACATCTACAATTTTGCAAATATTATCAATTAAAAGCTGCATCATGTTTGGAAAATCGTTTAGACTAAAAGGTCATTCAAATTCTAAAAAATTTAGAGTTATAAAAGCGCACTCATTACTTATTCAGTTTAGTTAATGCATTCATTTATGCGCATTTAATCAAGAAAAAGGATGAAAAGAAAACTCTTGTTTGATGGAGAAAATTTCTCTTTATGGACACCGTGGTAAAAGAATTCGATAATTGATGTTACATGTGATTACAGAGGAAGTTGATCTTTCAGAAACAATGTAGAGAGAGTTTCATTATGGCCACATGTAAATTCACTGATAAAAAATTAGTATTTCATAAAGATGACGACGAAAATGTTGATCGAATACGAGTTGCTAAATCGATACCTTAATCCCAGGAGGGACGTTAATATCGAATATAACGACAGTAGCATAAAATCACAAGTTCTGACGTTCAGAACAATTGGAATTGCGGTGAGATCGCGTTCATATCGTGGAAAAATGTCCGCACGAAACATGGGAGAATTTACGCAGAAATTTGATGCTACACATGAGCGGAGTTGTTAGAATTTCAAAACAGTCACCTTCACAGAAAGTCAGACAATGGAATCTGTTAGCGTTTTTTAAATAACAATCTTCTCCATGGCGCTGAACGGAAATTGTTGCCTTGACGAAGCTAACTCATGAAGTCCATTTATCTGTACCGAAAACAAGTGTTGCATAGAAGTGAGCGGCTAAATACAGAACAGAGCTGAGACAACCTTACAGATGAAACTTGTGTTCTTCGTCCTAAGCGTCTATAGTTTCTGAAAATATTGTTCAATCAACGAGAGTTCTTTATTTTCCTCTTTTTCAAAACAGCGTCATAACAATGTATCAGTATCTGTATCTATATCTATATATGCATATACATACAATATATGTATATATGCAGAGTTAGATGCAGATATATGTATAACAAACGAAAAACATCGAACCCCAGACGAGACTTTAACCCGCGTTCACCTGTACCAGGAGCGCGCGGTACCCACTACACCACCAAGGCTGCCGCTCTGTCATTGCTCTTGAATATTCCATGAGTTCGTCCAGAACTCAGATACTGGAAAAACTAACTAACTCGACTAAGTCGAGAGTCAGAATTTTGGAACTCCCGAGTGCGAAATTGGAATACACCAACGATACAATGGTGAATTCACTGCACTGTAGTAGACGAACTCATAAGAAAAACTATAACCTACTGTTAACGACTTAATATTTCGAACAGTTACCGTCATAATAGATAAGATTTATTGTAAGCTGAGATATGGTGATTTACCTCTGATGCCATCCATTACTTTCAGACATTTATGCGGACGCCTATATGGAATTTATTGTCTTGAAATCTTTACGAAATAAATTGCTACTGATCAATGCACACTGCTTTTTTTCAAATAAATGAACAAGTTAGAAACAGTGAGATTTAAAGCCTTAACTGTTATTGAAGAAGTTTATCAGTTCAAAGAACAAATAGGAAATGGAATATTAAAGTCATATGTTTACAAAACACCATAGCTCCGTCTAGAAAAGACGTCATAAAAATTAGATTGTCAAGCGTAAGGCTACCCTTATTAAGCCTTGAATGAAAAGAAGTAATCGCAAGGAATAGGTGTTCATGCTCTTCACCCTTAGCAATTGACAGCTCGTCGTCAACAAACAACTCGACGAATATCGAATTAATATACGAAAAGTACTTTGGTTATGCATAGCCGAAAGAGCTAGGACAGAATCACTAATGGGGCTCTTCTTTAAGGAAAACATTCGGAAGATAAAAGGTGGTTGAGCTTCACCTATGAGCTATTAGCGATGCTGAAAGCAACTAAAAACACGATACCGAGTTATAGTCATTTGTCGATCAGCTAATATATCACGTAATTAATCTTATTATGTAGGCAATAAGCATCAGGGGTAGCAACATGAGAGAAATGGCAGTTAATGTTGAGTGTTGCTCGTAAACAAATAAAATTCTACGATTCTCAGAACACACTCAAAATCTCCAATCAATATCTCGACTCAAACATATGTTCTCAATCAAAATATTCCCATTCAATTTTAGTCTTATACTCTCGTCAACATATATGTAATGTTGGATTCGCATTGATTCTATTAAATCTTGAATATAGTAAATTCTCATTACACCCCGTACCCCACGTTGAAAATGAGCTCCAAGAAAGTTTTCATGAGTTAATTCCTATTGCTTTAAAGGGGATAGTCCTATTAACTTTTTTATGATAAGGAAAAACACGTGGCTTCCTAACACTCAAATTGCCTCCTTTGTATGCAATTTTCATACGCACCTTTTCAGATTTATTTTCTGATCAGCTTACATTATAGGGGCGTCGAACTATTTTCTGCGATCACCTGAGAAATTTAAGGCTAAGAAAAGGCAAAGTTTTGAAAGCAAAATTACTGGTCAATTAAGTGATTTATGTATCAAAATCAGTACATTTTGAAAGAGTACGAAAGCGCGTATCGACCCAAGTACACATGGTTATAAAACTTAGATCATTGCTCGCCAGCAAATCGAAAACCTACGCTAATCATTTGTTTTCTTTGTACTTTGAGATTTCTATACCTTGATGATGAAAATGGAGGCTGTACCGATTCAAGGATGACTGGATGATGAGAAATGATTTATGACCTTCACCCAATCATCTCTGCTCGTTTTCCCACGACATCATTCTGTCCTGCACATCGCAGCAAAGTAGCCAAATCACCAAATTATTGCTTTGCACTAGCGCAATTTTGATCCAAGCTTCGGCAAGTATGTTGTGCATTTTGATGAAAAAATAGAAATCTATTTCTCACAAAATAGCTACAGAGAACAAAAACATATTCCATGTCTCTCCTCGTATTTTCTTCCTAGTTGTTCTCAAATGCAGTCTTATTTAATAAATATTTTGCTTAAAACACTTCCAAAAATTGCCCAAAACATAGTAGGCTTTCAAGGATTATGGTGGCAGTACAAAAATTATATGGCCTCATGTGTTCGAGCGTACAAAACATGAGATGGGAAATGCTTAGACACTTAGATGTACCGTCTTCGCTAGTTGTGTGGACCCCAGCACAATTCCAAATGGTAGTATTGATGGTCGTTTATACGATATTCCTTAGTTTCCTGACGTGACCTTGAAAGGGCGTTTTCGAATCTTCACGACGTCGATTCCAAGGGATGGATTCCGGCGATGGATCGTTGGCCGGACCGTCCTATTTATGATTCGGAGATGATGTTAGGCCTAAATTAGAAGCAGAAGTGGGAAGAAAATCAACGGACCGCTCACGGATGATGTAAAAGCCGAAATCCAATATGGGAAATAAATCTGGAAATGTTAATTCAAAAATACAGAACTTTCAATAGTCAGCCCACCAAAAGAAATAATGGCGGTGAAACATAACCACAAGACTGCGGTTTCAGCTTGACTGGGTTTAATAGCGATTCCCTTGCCCCAGATCATTCGGTTGACCGATAATTGTTGACAACCAACTATTACGGCGAATATGGGTGAGATAAACGCAAACCAACGGACTTGATAGTGCAACACGAACTCTCGAAGCACAAGAGTGGATAGCCGTGGTTCGAGTACACGCCGTATACACCAGGTTATATGTCCTGACCAATATTTTATCATTTTTGTGACCACATTTCATTCGTATTTTGCCGTTGAAAATCAATCATTGCAGGGAGGAAAGGCAAAATAAGATCGGTGAAGAGTTTGAGTGTTTTTTTATAGCAATATTAGTTGATACGGTACGGTTTGATTCCACGTAAGTTGAGCTACCATTACCTTTGTGATTATGGAATTAAGACAGACCTTACACTGTGGGATGGACAGCCCTCGAAGGGGTATAATTAGTGAGAGGACGAATGAACGACGTTGACGAGTGGGTCCAGGAGGGCCCTATGGGGGTGTTTGCGATGAAACAATCCATCGTGGCGCGCCTATCAATAGAATGAATTAATGAACACTGATGAATTGAGTTAGACTTGTCAAATAGTATCGTCAAGTTGTGTTTCAGATGCACAAACACATCCCCTATACTAATCGGACGAACGATCCCATTCAGAATTAACTGCTGTTGATACATGGGTCTAAAGCAACGCAATCACTAGGAAACGACTATATCAGCCGTTAGAATCCAAATGCATCAGAAGTGAATAAACTAAACGCGAATGTATGACTACTTGACGCTTGTTTTTGAGTGAAAATGCGTCCAATATCCTAACATCAATAACATATTACTCCCGGTATGGATGCTGTAATGCCCATGCACGACTGAACAGTCTTTCAAATGCGTCATTCAAGTGACCATTTTTCTACAAGAAGTTCTATTTTTCTTCTTTTTTTTCTTTCTGAGAACTAGATAGCAGAAGTCGTTCTACTGGCTTCCTTGAGAAACGGCGGATCTCACGGATATTATGAACTGAGACGCGTACACATTAGAAATAGCGCTCTAATTGATTCGTTCAAGCTGAGCGAAAAGTGATAGAATTCACGTGGACGCATTGCGATTCTTCCCATTCAAAATTCTATTAATTAACTATTCATGCCGGTCAAAAATCGATTAATGTCACCAACACAGTTTTAATCAGAATGTTGAGAACGGATTCTTTGACTGAACGACTTATCCACTACTATTAAAGTAAATCAAAGTCACTACATCCATCACTACCATCTTAAATGGATAAATTCGCTTGTGATTTACGAAAACAATAGATTCGATAGGAATACTCTCTCATCTTGCTAGCGTCGTTGGACTAACCTTGGAAAAAGCCTGATCACATATTTTTGGCCTTCCATGAGATCTGATATGACACTATAAGGGCTAGACGTACGTTTCGGCTTTCATGTCAAGCCTTATCAGTAGCACATGCCTTTCGGTTGAACTGAGTCCCTACATGTAAGGGAATCGGAGCCGAACATCTTGCACTGCACGCCCGGTGGGAAGATCATTTGACTTTACATAACAATCGATTGCTCAATGTCCGAAAAAACAAATTTAGCAATACTTTCCTGTTCGAATGCAACGTGGTACTGATGATGCTTCACATGAAAGCCACGTACGTCTAGCACTCAAAAGTGCCAAATCAGAACTCACGAAAAGCTTCGAAAATGTTATCAGGATACTCTTTTTAGCGAGGTCTCAGAGAACAGTCGAATAGAATGTCGTTTGAAATATCAACAAACGGAACTAGTAGAGTGGGAAGTTCTGTTTATTTCGAAAACGTATCTCAGAAAACACCTAAAAATGACAATCATGGCAAATTAGTGCTAGGGGTTAGATAGCAAATATTTGAAACTTTTGGTTGTAAGCGTTGTCCAATCTCGCCTCTTCCCCCAGCTCCAGAACATTTAATTCTTACAAAATTTCGTTGGTCGAGATATTATAATATATTTCAAATAAGTTTAAATCTATAGTTTTCTAATTATTCTCAACTGGTCTCTGATTTCTCATTGCTTAAAGCACTTGTTTCACGGCTTCAATGGGTAATTTACCGTTTTTTAGCACAGTTTTTCAAGCCTGTCTCCTACGCTAAATAGGAAATTTTCATAAAGAATGTTAGTAGTCAGTAGAAAGCTCAAATGTCAAGCTAGCACTGTACATAGCCAATTTTTCAGAAAGATTTTCATGATGCTGAAAATTCAATAAAAAGTATGTTTCACACGCGCATACTTCTAGCAGTACACAGGTTTTCTTTAGACTGTTAACAATCATTTAATAGCGTAAAGTTTACTGATTCCAACGCTATGCTAATATGTCGAAAAGACTGTTTCTATGCAACGTAACAGGAAAATAAGATTGATTCACATCCGCGAGCAGATGTTTCTTTGGCCAATTCACGGGCAGCGGGGTGGAGGGAGAGCAGAGGGGACGGTGCGAACATCGATCGGTGGCGCCTAAGTGCGGCGTATCTGATTAGGTACTGTTTCTCCTTTTTGGAAGAAACTCCGATTCAAACATCTGACTCTAATATTAAAAGATTTATCCACACGTTCGTGTGCTTTTCGT